TAATCCGCAATTTTAATAAATCCATTTGAAATCATTAAATATAAATGTGTGAGAAATAAGAAAGATAAGAATTGAGATATGCTGCAATTGTGAGATCCTATATTGCAATTGTCAAAGTCTAATTATGAGCAAAATTCACAATTACCTTTCTTAAAACCATCTACTTTGAGGTGAAAACAGACTTGCAAAAAGAAGGATGGGGGTACTAAAAGGAAGGGCACTAGTGCAGTGTGAGCCTGGCCCATTAATTGGCTGTAATGAGGAAATAACATATGCAAGACTGTGAGACTGCGACACAGAATATGGGCATACAGTCGGTCTCACCATGACAAATAACCACGCTTAACACATTCCCTGAGATTTTTTGAACACTTTTTCAAACCCACCCATGATATGCTCTAACCAAGTCATGTGTGTATTAGGCTTTTTGTGAAGAAGATGTGAGTGATGCTTGTCCACTTACTAGCCATCACAATACCTAGAGTATTCTGGATGCATACAATGTTTTATAGCCCATCAATCCAGTCTCTTAGAAAAATAACAGCACACCTCTCCTCAACAAACGCAGCGATTTGAGGTATCAATCATGTCTGTAGCCCAAACGGCAGGAAGGAGAATGCAGTCTTCAAAATTAAGGTTCTCAATTGGCAGTGATGGTTACGAGAAGAACCTTTAACATCCATGGAATCTTTCCATTCCACTAAAAGGTTCTTTATAGTGGAAAATGGTTCTTTAGATGATTTAAATGTTCTTCACGCTAATAAAATAATGTTTCTTTGAAGAAATTTTCAGTGATAAGTAGGGATGCACCGATGTGAACATTTTGGCCGATACCGATAACCGATAATTCTTTATATTTGAAAGCCGATAACCGATATATCGGCCGATAAATCGAAATATAATTTGAGAGCCTGATTGCACAAACAAAAGTCTCACAATTAAAATCCATTTCCCAAACACACAATTATAATGTTCTCATTATAATTTCATGTAGCCCATGTAGCACATTTTGCACTTAACTATATTTTCCTTTTTGATTCCAAGTTTGATTTTAAGTGTCTCAGGTGTTGAAGGAAATAATTCATTATTTATCAGCTTTAATATATCAGCCAAATTTTATTATCTGGCCGATAACGATAACATAAAAAAAAAAAAAAAAAATCGGCCGATAGCGATATGCTGGCCGATATATCTTGCATCACTAATGATAAGGTCATTTGGTAACCAAGTTCTTATATTGCATCACTGCGAAACCCCCCTTTTGGAATCTTTATTTTTGGTTAAGGTTTTTTTTTTTTCTTCTGCGCAATCCTAAAATGCCAACACTGTAGTTTTAAAACACACATTTAAAAAAAACGAGGATCATTGTAGTAGGCTACGTTTCACAAGAAAATACTATTTCAAAATTTCGAGTTTACTTTTTTCAGTCGTCCACTTTAAACAAACTATTAATTCTATTGAACTTTAAGTAACTACATGTCAACTAACTATGTGGAATACTTGATTCTGATTGGTCAATCGCGCCATCCAGTGGTATGTTATTGCCCAATTACTGTACAAAAAACTTAAGATAACACAGACTCATCCGGTTAACTGAAATCAGCACTATACGCTTACTAGGAACTGTTTTTTCTCTGTGGAAGAGTATTTGGTGAGCTAATAAAAAAAATTAAACTTAAATCAATATTTTGTGTACAATTATTTATGTCATCCAGGTATCATGGACTCGCTTTCTTTAGTTTCATGCAAACACAGCTGCTGCCCTTTTACAACAATTGTTTTGTACACTGCCAGGATAAGATAACAAACAGGTAAAATTTTAAAACCGTTTCATTTCAAAACAATATCTTTTATCACTATAATCATTTCCGAGGCAAAATGCTGTGTAATAAGTGGTGAACCGTATCCCTTAAATGTCCGTCTAGTTTGAACTTTCCGCGTCAATATTTCGTGTCTAAATAATTACGAATGTGGCAAGTAGCCGCGTAATAAGAGGGATAATGTACATCCAGCTGGTTTGTATCATAGAATGAACCCCTTTAGGGTGATACAAGCCCCATATCGGTGTTTATTCTACGATAACAACCAGCTGGATGTACATATACTTAAAGTATTAGGTCTGTTAGGTTATGGTCAGGTGTTAGGATTCAGATTAGTAGAATAAGTTGACATATAGTCAGTGGAGCATCAAAATAAAGTACAAGCAGACGGTCAACTAATACTCTAATTTCAGTGTGGCATAAAAAGTACCACTAACATTATATCCTGCTGTGGTTTTAAATTCACAGTCAATCTTAAAACACAGTAACGTTACCTGTTGAAAGTTTGACACCATGTTCGTGGGGTGGGGGTGGGGCTGTCCTTTTGTTGTCCCACTGGCTAATGATTAGCTTGAGATAAATAAATAATGACGGTGAGGGGTATTTAATGGTAAACAGATACTCTGCTAGAAACACAAAGAGGGGGACGATCTCCTTCCTTACCATACTGAAAAAAAGAGACACCTCACACAGACTTAAATTACCCTGCTAGTAACCGTATACTCACTAGCGCTAGTCAGGTACGGCCGCTTCAGATGCGACTCAATGTCATGGAAAATCACTATCTGTGACAGCACCAATAGAGATGCATAGCCCTGTCAGGCCTATGTCTTCATATATAGTGAGATTACAGCAAGGGCGAGCGCGTCGTCTTCTCGAGTCCTCGCCGCACATGTCAGATTTATTGTTCGATAGAAATATAACATATGAAAAACTCCAAACACGGCTTTGAGCGATAGCAGTAACCTTGCACATACCCGAGCGATGATTAATGGTTGCACGCGCGGACGGATCGTCGGGGGTGGAACGCTCCGCGGTGGATCGTTTGCCGAGCTCGGAGACTGAGAAAATATCCTCGCGCTGTAACAAATTGCATTGTCTGTTTATTCCAGTCAGAGTTTATGAAAGAGACAGACAAACAGGAGGTTGATGTATTGGCCTCGTGTCACGGTATGGCAAGCACATTCACACATACATTCATCTCTCCGTTTAGAAGCCAAATGATACGTCTAATTTGCTGCGAGCCCAGTTATTTTTAACTTCTCCAGCTGTCAGATAATGGAGCTTGACTGTCAACGCCAGTGTGTGTGTGTGTTAAAAAGGTTGCACTCTTTTTCAATTTACCGTTCTGTTTGAGTGAATTAGAAAACCCACATTCCATTAGTGGGGATGATTGACGCATCTTTTTTTCCATATCAAAACCAAAGGCAGATGTTAAAAAGAGAGAATGAGAGTTAGAAAGAGAAGAGAACCCAAAAGGGGAGACGGTTGACTGGGGTTAGCTATCTGAACTGTTTTGACATTCCTTCCCCAATAATTACAATGCTGTGAATTTGCCTACAAAAAAAAAAAAAGAAGCTTCTTCTGAAATCACTTGAAAGAGTCTTTCTCTCATGTTTATTAATTAGATGGAACTATGTCTGTACTGGATTGGGTTGAATCGTAAGCTTTCTAAGTAAGACATGAAAGCTTTCAATTCATTGTCTTAAAATCGGTCTCGTGATGTTTTAACGTGAATCTTCACAGCACTGTGTGCATCGTTATAAAAGCCCAAGGCTTGGAAACACTCAGAACTGTTATTTTCATTTCATCTGGAAAAAAAAAAAAAAAAAAAACAGTTAGCAGACAAAGGAGTTACTGGTTGTCATCGCTAATGAAGATGAGATGGAAAAACAGTTCAGACAAAAAAATTTATTAGAAAAAACGAATACTGTGCTAACAACCTTTTTAGAAGAAACATTTTGAAAAAGATAATTTAGTCTAAAAAGCCTACAATATTTGAGTTTAATCATATAAACAACATATTGTATAATAAATAAATAAAAGCGCACTGAGAATAGCAGGTCTCAGGGTTTGAGCTTATGAACATAATTCTGTGAGAAAAATTATCCCGTAAAATCAACTTATGAT